GGCCAAAAACCCAGATAGCAAAAAATTCTTTATGTAGTAACTTTCTCACTTAGTGTAGACTACGAAAAAATGTAAAGATGTATGTACGGCTCTTGTTTAACCTCAGAAACTTTTTCACTCTCAGATTTTTACGCAAAATTATTATTTTTTTTTTTTTTTTTTTCATAAAGTGCAGTTAATTACGAAATGAAAAAAATGTATTCATGTACAACAGTGAATTATTACTCAAGTCTTTTTCGAATGTCGTGTATTTGTTTATCATATCTTTTTGTTTAAACGGTGAACCGTACATCAACAGTCTTGCGTTTTAATCAACAATACATATTAGAGAAGTTTTTTTTTTTTTTTATCTAAAAATTGGTGCATGATCGTTCCTTTTGGTGCTATAAGTACATTGTATTAACAACATCTATTAGGTACTCTTTTCTTTCACGCTCCTTATACTCTTCTAAAGGGTAAAACGAATGGAAATTTTTCACTATGCTTTTTACCTTGATAATATACAATTGGAAACTATACTTATGATCTTTCGAAATTATTTGAATAATACAGAGTACAAGCTACGACCGAGGCACTTATTCAAATACAAACAAAAAGTTAATAAACGTATTTTGAAAAATGCCTACATTCTGATCCAAAATCTCAAAACTGAGTATCTCTTATCCTTGAATTTTTCATCTACATGAACTTGTAAAGACTTCAACACTTGCTGATTAGCAAAATGACGCTTAATTTTTAAGTGAAAAGATCAAAGCTAAGAATGCATAAGTATGACTATTTACAAGTACAATGAAATCCATTGTTTGAAAGTGTACTTATATATATATATATATATACACTTTGTGTTTGCAGATCTCTCTGACCTTGTAGAACATTATATACACGATTTGAGGGATCACCGAAACCATCTCGATTCACCTTCGTTATTGTTCCCATAATAGATAATCACTGCACTCGAAAACAGTGAGTGTACAACAGCCGATTACCGTACTCCCATACTCTATTCTTTACGTATATATGTGTGTTTTTTTAGGCAACTGTAACAACGATCCAGTAAACTATAAATTATGTTCCATCATTGAAAGAAAAAAAAAAAAAAAACAATTGTTGAATTCGCACGTTTTCAACAAATGAAATCCTTCAATGCTCCACAACGCAGGATCAAAAACCAAAGACGAAACTTTTTCCAAAGGTGTAACCCCTTGCACCGAAAACAAACAACATTACGGGCAGAGAGACACCCCAAAACGTGGATCGGATCAGCGTCCGTCGTTACCAGGGTCCCTGCGTGGCACCGAGGCGGCTCGTCAAAACTTTTGGTGGCAGAGTATCTTGTCGACGTCGTCGTAGCTCGAGCGCAGCCTACCCCGAACCTCCGGCTTGAACGAGGGCCCAGCCGTATAGTGGACGCGTATGGGGCTCGAGGTGCGGGTCACCGGGGCGGTCCTGCTGCCCGAGACGTGGCTGTTGCGCACGGGTATCTTGCTGAGGGCGCCCTGGTTGTGGTTGACGTCGAGGATGGAGAGCCGGCGCAAGGCCCCGTAGTCCAGCTGGGCCACCTCGGCCCCGTGCCGCTGTTCCCCCGGCAACCTCACCTCGTACTTGTTGGCCCGCCTGTTGCGATCGACCAGGACCCTCGGGCGCTCCTTCGACCCCCTACTACCCTCCGCGAACCCCGAGGAGCAGGGGTTGCGCTTGTTGGTCTTGTTGTCCTCGAAGTTGTAACGCGGCCTGCCCCTGTCGCCGGACTTGACCGATGGATTGACGTTCCCGCTGTTCTCGTCACCAGGGTTCGCCTCCTCCTCGTCGTCGTTGTCCCCGTGGTGGTCGTGCGGGTCGTAGTCGTAGTCGAGGGAGTAGCTCTTTGGCAGGGGGAACGCGAGGAAGGGCCTGCTCCGCTCGAAGGAACCCGAGGTCGAGGAAGACCCGAAAAACCGCCGGTCCCCCCCGAAGCTCATCTTCTGGTTCCTGTAGATGATGTCTTGGAGGTTCGGTATCTTGGCCGGGCCCTGCAGCTGTTGCGACCCGTAGGATGAGGAGGTGAGCTGAGCTGGTATCCGGATGCCCGCGTCGACCATGAACTCGTCGTCGACGAAGGTGAGGGCCGGTAAGCCGCTCGGGCCACCGAAACCCCCCCAGTAGGGCTCGCGCTCGTAGTGCAAGCCGCGTACGGAACTCGGCGTGCTGCCGTAGCTCGGTGGTGGTGGTGGTGCCCTGTTGTTGCTGTTGTAGTACTTGCGCGAGGCGAGCTGGTGGGCTAGGTCGCGCCTACACTCCTCCCGGGAGGAGTCGAGAAGCGAGAAGGGTTTGACAAAGTCCGGGAAGCGAGCGGGTTCGGGGGCGCGGAACAAACTGGTTGTTTTTATGTAGCCGGCGCTGCAGCGATGGGACAGGTGGTCGCCGCTCGAGGTCACCGGGTGGTGGTTGTTGCGCGCATGGAATACCCGATCGGCCAGCTCGTAACAGCTACACTGGACCTTTTGCGCAGTGGACGGGTAATCGTTGTTGCCGTAGCTCATTGGCTTGATGCCACCGTGGCTGCTCGAACCGGCCTTTTCCCACAGCTGCGCGCTGACGCTCGACGACGTTGCTGTCGTTGTCGTTGTTGTTGTCGTCGTCGTGGATGCGATTGTCGCGAGTGTCGTTATTGTTGTCGTCGATGGTGGTGGTGTTACTGTTGTTGTATGCGCAGAGTTGTTGGAGGACGAAAATATCGACCAATGTTGGGGTAAATTATCGTTAGACGAACTACAAGCACACAAACAACCCATACGTTTTATGTAATATTATTTACACTATCAACACTATGAGGGGGTACACAACGACAACGGAGGGGGGTGCATGATCGGGATCATCATCGGCTACTCTACAACTAACGCTATTTTGTTAATATTAATTTCGTGCTATGCATGTATTATTATTATTATTAAAGAAGTGAAATTTATCGTGAAGTACCTTGTCTTTGAAATATCTGCCACGTGCGAGGTCGACAGCGAGCTCTCTGGAAAATTCAAAGGTATTTTTATAGCGACCGAAAGTAGTTGGATATAGCCGAGAGGGAAGGGGACTCACGTCTGATTAGCGGAGGTTTCGACGGAACGGCCGATTTCGGGGACTCTGTGCCTCCCGGAGCCTGTTTGCCTCGGTTCGGTTTGACGGGCGAATCGGTACTGGCTACCGATTTACTGCTCACGGCAGTCGTTCCCGGCGCTGTGGACCACAATAAAAACATATCAATGTGCTACACGCGTGTCAATCTGTTAGGGTGTACTTACGTATTTTCAGGATGTTTGGTTTTTTCGGGTTGTTGGGCACGACAGTGTTGCCGATTTTTCCACCAGGACCGCTGCTCGAGGCGGCCTCCAGCTTCTTTTCCTCTTCAAGCTTTTTCATGTCCTCGGTGTCGTACTTGCTGAGTTTCGCCGGAGACTGAAAAAAAAAAAACATTATGGTTATCGCGCCGAGAGAGTGGCCGTGAGAAAAAATAAAACGTACCGGTTGGCCGTCTACCCTGACATCGACGCTGTCCATCAGGAGGGAAGCGGCGTTCAGGGCTGCCAGCACGTCCCTGTCCTTCTCGCTGCTCTTCAAGTTGCGGACGTTCATCTCCAAGGTGGACAGTAGCTTCTTGTCGGCCGGCAACCTCAGACAAGACTTGATGGTCGGGGCCAGGGTGAGGGCTTTCAGTCTGACGTTGGCCACCGGGTCGTCCATTATGTCGAGCAGAGTCGGGCAAAAGTACTCCTTGAAGTAGACCGACGAGAATATCGTCAGGGCCTCGATCATCATGCGGATGAAGATCATTCTCAGGTAGCAGCTCGAGCCGTACGCCATCTCGTTGCATATCTTGCTCCGCAGTTCCAGCTTTTGCTGGGACTTGAGGTTGTAGCGCAGGAAGACGAGGAGCGTCCGACCGGCAGCCAGGCGCACTGGTAGGGGTCTCTGGAATTTGGACGAGCTTTATAGTACCCGAGAAGCTCGCGTGGTTTTTGGCAACCCACCGAGTACAGGACCCTGTTGGAGACGACGGGCACCAAGTGGGCGTAGATGAAATCGCTGGACAAGCACCTCGGCAGTATTTCAAACTGGCCGAGCATCAGCGCCGACAACCTCCAGTTGTTGGTCAACGATATCTGGGCTTCGCACTGGATGAGCGCCTTGCCCAAGTCGACCGTCGACGATTCCTGATGGGCATTAAATCAAATTACAATCGTATGGGACAATACTTTTACTACTTATGTACGTAAAACTCCTCCTACCATTTGGTCAGCTCTCACGAGGTGGTGTTGCAATAGGTTCTCGAGGATCCCCGAGACGTGCGGGATGAGGCCTTGGAGGACCTCTTCGTTGTCGTCTTTCAGCAGTCGGATCAGCTCGGGCTTTATCAACCCGCTCTCCCGACCCAGGACATTGATGATCTAAAACGCACGCGTTCGTCAACTTTGGCATCCAAAGGACGGGATCAATAATCAACGAAAAGTATGTATGTACCTCGTGCAAGCTACAGGCAATCGTCCTTCGTACCATGTAATACGAGTCGCTTGCCAAATTCCGGAAGGTCGGGATCAGCGCGTTCACTCCCTCCGAAGCTGAGGAAGCAAAGAGGAACATTGCCGGCATGTTGAAAGCGCAGCTCCGTCGACACTCCACGCTTCTGTCGTTCGCGTTGCCCGCCTGTGTACACGCGTTTCCTTACGTATTACGCACGTGGCGTGCAATTTTTATGAGATGTATAAAAAAAAGGGTATATGTACGTGAAACGAAAACTCTTGGTGCTTGGCCTTGTCCTCCCCGACCTCCTTCGCCTTCGGAGTGCCCATCTGGGCGATTTGCACGAAATACTTGATGAACCACGTTTTGTCCGCCGGTATCAGGTGAGCTGAAACGAAAAATGTTAGTTCATATAGTATGCATGGACGGCGGATGATGCTTAAAAACTCGTACCTTTGGTACTTTGGGCAAGTTTGCCGAATTCTTGTGCGACCACGCATATCACATTGTCCTCCGATTTGGCGGCGTTCTCGCAAGTCAGTTTTATAAGGGGCACTACAATATCCACTATCGTATCTGGAAAATGTCGGTGTTGAGCAAAATCTTCGTGAAATTCCAATGATCCAGGATATACATATATATTTTAACGCGCGTGAAATACCTGCTTTGAGGTGGGGTAACAAAAGACCCATTGTCTGGACAGCGGCTTGTCTGACGTTGCTCTCTTCGTCGCTGGCCAACTCGACGATCAATGGAAGTAACTTTGTGGTGCTGTCGCCCATGTTCTGGGCGACGAGGTGCAACTGCAGGCAAATGCACGCGCGCACGTCGCTGCTGACATCTTGGCTGAGCGACTGTACCGTTGGCAGGACGTCTCGTTTGATGCTTGGAAAAACAGAGCACAAAGAAATATCATTATCGGGTCGATAAGACACACGGTAGGCGCTGCTCGATGAAAATTTGTTCAATCGTTCGCTGATACATCAAAATGTTCATAGTATCGGTAATCAATGTATCGATTTCAGTCTTTGGAAAACAAAAAAAAAACAAGCTTTGTCCACTTATTTATTTATATTTACAAATTCATGTGTTGAATGTGCGTAAATTACTTAGATTTCTTCGGTCAAAGAAAACGTCAACTTAAGATTTCCTTCAAGAAAACGCTAAATTAGATTCGGGTCGAAGGAAGTACCAAGAAAATTTTTTTTTTTTCTTTTCTTAAATTTTTCAGTGGCAATACCGTATGTTTTAAGTCACTTTCAATCGTCACATCAATTCCCGCAAAAAATAACTGCCACTACAAAGCTCGAGAGAACAAAAAAAAAATGCCTACGAGTTAACGCGTCCGATACGTTGTCCTCCAATTATTGATATCGTAAAATGAAAATACAGAGATGGAGTTAAAGCTGTGGGAGCAATATGCAACTTATTGACGGTGAACTTACGACTCGGCGTCGAAGCGGGTGGCTATTTTACCCATGAGCCGACAACACATAATCCTCGAATCGACACTCTGCGACAGTCTGCCCTCGCTTATCGCGATCGGTAAAATCTGCAAAAATCAATGAACCACATAAACATTTACATGACATCATAATGCACGTTTGAGTATACAATGTAACAATCGAATGTACCCACCTCGCGCTTGACGACGTCCACGTGCAGCAATTCAATAACGTCAATTATGGTATCCAGCCACGCGTGCGAGACGACTGCAAACGACATACACCCACAATCATCAACGCAAAAGAATAATAATGATAATGATAAGGTGTACTTTTGTTTAAGTGAAAAGTTACCGGGTTCTCGGCTGCCGAGGGAGCTCAAAATGCTCTGGAGGAAGACCTCGGCGAAGGTGGTCGGGCTGACGAGCCTCTGCTCGAGGACCTGTTTGAAGATGACCGAGGCGGCCATGTGGAACTCGGTCGAGGCCGTTGGCAGGGTCTGCTGTATCTTTGGCAGGACTCGCGTGATACACCCGTGAGCATCTTCGGCGAGAAGCTGCGGCAGGGTCTCGATGACGCTCAACTTCTGTAGCTCGTCTCCCTTTCTGCAAAGAGCATTTTGAAGAATCGCGTAAGCTCATGTTTTTTTTTTTTTTTTTTTTTCCCCCACTACCCCGATAGCCAAACTAGGAGATCTTTTCGTTTACGTTGAAAAAAAAGTTATCACTAATTTTCTTCAAGCGCCGCTAACCCTCTTCTTCCACGTGTAGAGTACAAATTCTCATGTTTTTTTTTTTTTTTTTTTTTTTTTCCCCTACGATTCTCAGTTAGGAAGTACCTATACATCAAATTGTCAGGCGGCATTTCACTCTACACTCGATTGGGTACGTACAGGCTCAAGTGAATTCCGAAAAAAAAGTTATATCTATAAAAATTGCGTGCTTTGGTGTGATAAAAAAAAATCATCTTAATTTAACGTACTCCATCATCATACATGTAAATTTTTTTTACTAATTTTTTCGAAATTTACGTTTCATGTGAGAAAATAACAGTGCTCTTTGTAATGGCACATTTACAATTATCGTCGAATGTTAATAAATCGTTGAGGCTTGATTTTTTTTCCAACCTCGGAATTTATTAGCTTCAATTAGTCAAAAGGAGTCGTGGTTCTTGTTAAAAAAACGTACACTTGTATCAAACTAAAACAAGTTTTCTTTTCTCTTAATACGTATTTTTTTTAGCAAATCATAATAATATCACAAATCTGTAAGTATATTTTTGGTCGCAGAAAATAAAAACATTTTCATTCGAAGCTTGTCAATTTCGATTTTTTTTTCACTATTTACACAAGGACAATATATATCTTGGACATTTATTTAATTTTTTTTTTTTTTTTCCTAATTGGATCGATTCCCAACCGTAATTACTATCGGGGTGCCAGCGAGTTTTCATTAACGCGCTCTAGCTTTGCCGATGACTGTATCTCTGCGCATGGACCCACTGGTATATATACATATACCAGTATCCAGGTATACCTATGTAACGGGGACACTGTGCAAGTATGCTCTGGAGTAGACGTTTTTTAGAGCATCACAGAAAAAAAAGTGCTTGGAATCTTGGATCTGAGCTAGGTAAATGAATATTGGATGGACTGCAAATCTAACGTATAAATAATAGTAATCATTATAATTAAAAAAAAAAAAAAAAAATAACAAATTAGTTACAATGACATTATACATCTGCATGCAGAATAGACGTGAAATGGCTTGGTCACCGCTCGTCTGTTTGTATAGCCTAGTGGGCCGCACAGTTATTAGGTGCTACGTATGTTGCACCTCCGCGTCACAATGCGGAGGAGAATTAGCTATTCGGTCGGCATCTATACTTTTAGCGCAAATTTCAACAAATGGTCAATAAAAGGGATAAAAATACTATAAAAATCACAATTTTCATGTATTTTTACAAGGTATGTGGAAAATGAACGAATCTTAGTATCACAGGCGTGCCTCCGATAAAAAATTATATTTGTAAATAAAGCCAAAAATAATCCAATGCACGAGAATGAAAAAAAAAAAAAAAAAAAAAAAGGAAATCCAATCGATCAGTGAATTATTCTAGTTTCGCAGTACAGGATTGCGACGAAACTTTGCGCTCGCCGAAAAAATCGGTACGCCAGATCTCACTGATTTCGTACAAGAGAGCAGGTATACATATTCAAAGAGCACAAAACGCGATCCAGAGCGCGATCATACATACATGAAGTACACAGATACACGTGTAGGGTGTGATATGAAAAAATAACAGGTGACACAGAAGTAAACAAACATCGCGTTACGTCACGACATACACGTAATATATGTGTGCCGTGTGATATCCGTGATGTTCTACATACGTATATATCTGATGGACGAGAGCGAGCGGTATCATCGGCACTTAATGACTTAATTATTCAGCCGCATGCGCGCATGACGAAAACAAACAATGTCGTAATGCCCTATACTCCTTAGTCGGTCAATTAACGACGGCTCGGTGACGCTATACGCACTCCCGTGTAATCACGTTTAAGCTCGTAAGTACTAATATACGTGAATGTAAAAGCCTCGTACCTTATTGTCCTTCCGCTAATACTTTGATATTTTTTTTTTTTTTTTTTTTTTCATCGATTGGTAATTTCCAGCTCTGCGCGAGTTATTTTATTTTTCTTGTCTCCGTACAACGTTTCACGAGATCGATGAGCTCAAGCGTAATACATATTTATCACGACATCGAGAAAACGTTTGATTGTCTATTGTAACAATTCGTTTTTTTATTGATTTTTAAAACTTAATTGTTATTACGTATTTCTCAAAGTAATGCATTACTTACATTTCATATTATTCTCGTTTCAAAGGCAAACGGTTATCGCTTTGTATTATTACAAAAAAGTAATAATAGTAACAGTATAACAGTAGTTACAATAAAAATTCGGTATAAAGAAGGAAATAAATTGTTGAAAAAAAAAAAAAAAAAAAAAAAAAAAACACTCCTGATAACGAAATGAGTGAGCATGTTAATTATAGAGTTTAAAGTCTACTGTTTAAGACGTTCAATTTATTTAACTAAGCGAAAAGTAACCAGTTCTTTTTAGAAGAAGTGCGTTACTTAATTTCTATTTGAATGCTAGACAATTGTCAGAGATGGAAAAATTTCTTCTCGCAAGTAGACTTCCAGAAATTAAGCTTGTTTAATATTTATTGTAATGGGCAGCAAGCTTTTTAAACTTACAGCTTATTCTTTTATTAACTTTAAAAGATGCTTTAAGTTTATGTTTAAGACTAAATACAAAATAAAAAAATTAAAAAATTANCCGACTTTGTTCCTCTTCCTCAAAAACTCGTGGCAGTGAAATTTCATTGTCTCATTACTTACTTGTATCTATATAACTAAGTTATGTGGGGGTGCGCGCACTGCTACTATTGTACATGTAGGTACGCAGTGTTACAACATGACCATCATCACAAGTTCGTGATCCAAATAACAAACAAGACCCGAATGAATTTATTTTTAATTTTTACTGAAAAAACGTTTCAACGCAAGCGAAGCGCAGCAGATCATCTCGTGCGCTGTATACGTTATTATATGCCAAGTACTGATGTGATATAATCTCAATATATGCCAGTATGAAATTAAAAAAATGGGATGATCTTCCAATAAGAGAAATGTTCAATAAAAAAAAAAAAAAAAAAACTGTACAGCCAACAAACGGGCATCGGATATCTTTAGATTTACACGCTTAATTTGCGACTCGATACGATACAATATCTACTTATGTATACGATACAATATGTTTTACACAACACAGAATTTCACTTATATGCACATCTCGAGGGTGGGTGGCGCGCGCGTGCAAGGAGCTCAGAGGTGTAGCTAATGTATGGTCCCAAGGAAAAGGAAGCAAATACACGAAGGGCCAGCCAATTAATATATATGTACATTTAACTGATTTCCGAGGGATGAGCACAAGTGCGATGAAAAGTACAGACGAGAGACGGGGAAGACTCGCCCTCTGTCGCGCGTATACCCTGATCGATCACCCGCGGGCGGCTACGCTCTTCCTCCGTATACACCCTACACACGTAGGTATAACATGCATCCTCTGTGCCAACGATTATATTCCAGAGGTACACGTTACATCAATTGGGTGTACATATAATATGTATGTACTTACGCCTTCGAGTCTAGGTCGTAGGGCGACTCAGCTGCGGCCTGCCACATTTCGGAGCAACATGTTTGGCCCCACCGCGAAATCTAATCAGGTACCAGTGGAAACACCAACCGAGAGACACGAGCCTCTCTACGATGATGAGCCACGGAGCTACCGCGTAAGCTCCGAGGGGCGCAATTGATGGTATTGGGTATATGTAACACGACCCAAAACGCGAGTCGATGCAGAAAAAGTGAGTGTGTGCACGTCGACCGAGCTCTACTGCTCGACTAACCCCGACCGCACCACCCCCGTGTGCGCGAACAGCTTGGCGCGCCGCCGCTACTGATGTTACACTTTCATGGTTCGATTTGTTTCCTATACTATGTGTGTTCATGATGTTGCACGCGATCGTTGTTTTTCGTTTTTCTTTGCGATGCAGAGCAACTGTTGGAAAAAAAAAAAAAAAAAAAAACAGCTCGTTTTTCCCTTCGCTCTCACGTGTGCCCAAGGGCTCTTTTTTAGTGACCAGTGGGTCGACCCGAGACAATTTCGATCGTTAAGCTCATCGTGGGCACTGTATATATGTATGTGCGGTACTGTGCACACACGGTGTAGATGAGAGGGAGTCGGGAGCTTGCGGCAACTACAACCTACTTTTCGGCAGCGCTCCTGACGATGCTGCGGGGAGCTTGTGCTCTTTTTCATTCTTTCCAGCCGCACACAATGTACATACGGGAAAGTAGGTGTGTGAAGCACCGAGTCTTTTATTATGCATGGAACGCATACATCATGTGTGTGGCTACCCGTGCCAGTTTGGATTTTTCTTGCGAAAAAAAAGGGGCTAATGTTTTTTGGCTTTTTTCTTCTGAACTGAATTTCATAATTTTTTTTAATTGCTACCTCGCTAAAGTTTAAAGATAACGATACATGTTTGTATACGTTATACTTGGGTTTTTTTTTTTTTTTTTTTTTTTTTTTTTTTCATCATATGTAAATCATGGCGTACGACTTGAAGACACTGCAAATCTACCTAAAATCTTGATGTTTGATGCATCTTTGATAAAATTGATGTAGGTACGTATACTTTGGTGATTTAAAATTAAGCGGGCCTGCAAGTTGCGAGCCGAGTGGACAAAGTTAGAACTAATACGGATACAAGCGCGAAATTCAAACTGTTTTCTTTGCAGCTCTTTTCTGCATACGTGTGATCGCGAAAATTTTTTTTTCTACGACTAAACACACAGTGTAGACTAACCTTTATGTTGGAAAAAATGTAATTTTTGCAAATAACGATTCAGTTACCGATCAGCCGAGAGGAATATACAATTTTTTTTAATATTAAACTGTTTGTAACATTTCCCAAGTCATATATGCTGAACACGATAAATATTATAATAATTTATTGAGAAAATCATACTTACGTAAGAACATGTAATTGTCGTTCTACATGTTTGTCTTCCAAGTTTTTCTCTACCGAATGCCGTTTTAACTCTTGTTTGCTCTAAACAAATTTCACTGTGCTTACAAAAAAAATCTGGTATTTCTCACACACAAAATCATTAAAAAATAGTAAATTACTCTCAAGTTTCGAGGTGATGGTCTATCCAGTTGAAGGCTAACAAATTCGTCATTATAAAACATTATTTTTCTTTTCACTATACGAACGAAATAATAATAACCTTTTGAAAATCAACTTGTTACTTTAAGTAGCGGCGCGGAGCCGTTTATTTATTAGATGTCCATATAAGTATTTTTTTTTCAATATGTCAAAATTTTAGCTACATTCACTCTAATAAATAAATAAGAGACGCACCTACATCAAAAACTTATCGATAAAATTATCATAGGATACGGGTAATGTGTATGGGAGAAAGTAAAATACCAAGTTCATTTATGTATAAAATACGAAATATATTTTTATTTGACAATAAAATCAAGTAAGTAATTATTATTTGCGTTGAATAACATTTGTGTTTACAAACTTTAACGACGTAGAAGATATAATATGTACAAAGACTATGAAAATTAATTAAACGTTATTTACAAATTCTGTTGACTATGATGTAATCTACTTAAACTAATTCACATTTAAAGATTTCACTCTAGCTTACGCCAAATAAACTTAAAAATAGTCAAATATGTCAAGATTTGCTCAAAATCGAAATAATCATGATCTTTTGGATAAAAATGCAATATTGTCGATGCATTTGCTGTTACTTATTTTTTAACTTTTTAAATTAATCCTTCAATGCTAATACAATTATATTTATTTCATTCAAACGCTTCACTTCCTATATCTTAAATAACAAGACAGTTATTTTGTACAAAAATATCTTCACGTAAAAGATAAACTTTGTAATTTTTCATCAGTTCAGTCGGCGTGAGATGATTATTTTTTTCCGAATACACATACTTGTACATGTATGCATGCATACGTATGGTTCACATGAAATTTGGTTTTTTTGTAAATCTATGGAAGCACCCTTAATCACTGTGTGTAACAAAAACGTTCAAGCATCATATCAAGTTTTTCTTGATATTTAAAATATAACGGAAAAAGGAAAAACCAAATTTTTTTTTTATCAGTACATGTGGCTCAATCGTACAGTTTATACATATAAACACTCACCTAAACTTAAAATTAACATCGTATGGAAAAGCTATGGATTTGTTCACTTTAACACATTCGTCACTCGATAAAGCTTAATCAAAAATGTCTGACGACATCCCTCGGTCAATAAAGAAGGTAGAAAAAGAAAGTAAGTCCATAAAAAGAAATTGACAAGCTTTTATGGTTCCTTAATGCCTCCCTTGGCCTGAGAGTTCGTTCGTTCGACTAGGCACTTATTGATAAGTATATTCAACAGCCCGCTTATTGGCTGAAAGTACACTTTTTATCTTAATTATTCTTGCACTCGTGACTATTTTTTTCTTTTTTCCCTTCCTTTGTCCCAACTCGATTTATAACCACTTAGTCTCTTGGATAAGAGCAGAAGAAAAAATAAAACAGTCCTGATACTATCCTTGGGTGCAGCCAAAATCAGACATAACTTTCGTCGTCGACGACAGATCTCAAGTGCCTAGTCGCAATGGGCGCCCGAGGTTGCGGTGGAGGACGATAAGGTGGTGGAGATGGCAGCAATCTCGACCTCGCGGCCAGTTTGCGCCTATCCTCAAAATTAATGTGAACGGGCTTTAAGTGCCGGAGTCGCGGTGGCAGGGGTGGCGGCGTGTCCGGCCACGTTTGCTTGTGCTGGTCATCCTCCTCGTCGTCTTCGTCATCATTTTCACCATCATCCTCTCTTTCTCCAACCCTTTCTTCTTCCTCGTCATCCTCGTCGTAAACATCGACCGCCTCCGCTTGCTTGAACTGGTACAACTCGCACTTGTCTCCTCGGGAGCCGTAAATACCGTTGATCGCGTCGCGGTTACCGTGAATGCTACCACTACTAGTATTGTTGTTACTGCTGATGATGTTACTCTTGTCAAAATCGTAACGCTCGGATCTCTCGTCCTTGTTTATGTAGAGCTCGCAGGTTTGTTTGTATACCTCGTGACTGTCGGAGGACGATGAGTGGTAGCTACCGGTCTGAGAGATCGGCGATTCGACGTTGACACACAGCTCGGACTTGACCTTTTTGAAGTTGTATCTCTCGCCATTCGACATGGGCGAACTCGACTCGGTGGAACTCTGCTCGGTCTCGTGCAGCCTGACGTCCTGCTGTGGCAACCTCTTGTAATCCGTCACAATGTCCGAGACTTTGATGATCCTCCAACGGTACAGCATCTCCTCCTTGGGGTTCTCGACGTTTTCTTTTACGGCCTCCTGTCGATGAAACTCGCGCGCGTACACGTCCTTCTCGCTATGCCGATCCTTGAGCTGCTGCTGCTGCTGCTGCTGTTGTTGTTGTTGTTGAGGGGAATAATGGTTTTGGTGATGGTGATGTTGATTGTGATGCTGCTGGTGCTCGTGTTCGTCGAGCTTCGTCCTCGGGGTGCGCTTGAGGTGCGCCCTCAGCCAATCCTGCCTCTGAAAGTTCGAGTTTGGGTAGCTGTGTTCAACACCAGCGTGGAGGTGACTGCTGTACGAAGCGTATCTCTCCTCCCACGGGTGGCCATAGCTGAGCATCGCGTAAGCTGCCTTGCCGCTGCCACCAGTACCGTTGGGCTTGTTGTCTTTGGCAGGAGTCTTGTCCGAGCTCGACGTCGAGGCGTTGACAGCCGAGTCCTCGGAGCCCACCGGCGATTCGGGGATAAAGAGCTGGCAGTCCGACAGCGTCAGTCCGGAATCCCTCGACAGGGACATATAATCCTTGCGCGGAGGTTCCGTCAAATCGAGGCTGTCCAGGGAAATCCCACCTGCTACAACAAAATGAGATAAAACGATTAAAAACCAGTTGTTGTAATGCGGAGTGAAGTCTTTGGTGGATGTGAAGGAAAGTTTGGTGCTCACAGTGTAGGCTGTCGGTGCTGTCCTCGGCTCCGCTGTCGCTTCGCTCCTCGCCGAAAAGCAGGACGACCCCTTCGCCGAACAGGACCTCGCAATGCCGGATGAGCATCTCGGTTAGGGCAGGAATCGCCCGGCTCTGGTTGACCGAGGGACTCTGGGACCAAAGCAGACTCGGCCCACAGCACACGCCCAAATTACTCGCGCACATGAGGTTGTGCTTCGAGCGCCGGGCTATGTGGTGCAGCACGCAGACCAGGTGCGACAGCAGCGTGTAATTTGCTCTCGGTAGACGGTCCAGAATGCTACAAACCAAACGAATGATAAATATATGGACAATCATACATGATAAGGTAGCTTCATTGCGGTAAAAATCACGGGTCGTACCTTTTGATCGTCTTGATGGGGTCCGGAGACTCGAGACTAGCCATCCACAGGGAAAAGAGGTGGGAAGTGAGAAGGGGGTCGGGCAGGGATCTCAGAAAATCCTTGAGTAGGGCGGCCACTGCGATTATGGACACGTCCTCGAGGCAACTGGTGTCACCCGAAGACTCGATCTGGTCTCTGAGCTCCCGGACGATCCTCATGTTGGCGGACTTGCGGAATATGCCTTGGGTGAAGGGTCCCTTGGCAAAGAGCTGCTGCAGCATGACGAGGACCGGCTTTGGCAGGCCGTTCTCGTCGAGCCGTGCCAGATTTACGCCAAAAACATGGGGACTCAGAGAAAGGGACCTGCGCAGGAGCCCCTTTATCCGGGATTTGTGCTTCTTGGCCGGTGACTTGAGGATCGGCCTGAGGATGAAGTGGCAGGTGTCGTGGTCGCTCTTGTTGCAGTGCTCGAGGTCGAAGCCTTCCTCGAGGGAGAGCCTGTGTCGCAGATTCGAGAGCTTTATGGCGAAGGGCCTCTCGTGGCCGATCAGCGGGTAAGGCGCCTCCTCCGAAGACGTCCTCGCCCAGAGTTGGAAAGACTGGCTCTGGTGCAGGTCGAGCAACCTCGTCGTCAGGCTTACGCACGCGCTCGCCGTCATCTCGGAGCTCGCCGATATTTTCTTGAACTGTTGAATCAAATGTTGTTTTTAAGTTTTACATTTGTACCGCTATCGACTATTTCATGCTGTCATTTATTTAAAAATTCACGCGTTCGAAACTGTTGTTGGTTTAAAATTCTTTTTTTTTTTTTTTTTAAATATGAATCCAGATATTATTTATTGTAGCGAGAAATTTGAAGGTACGAAAGTAATGGAAATAACGACACTCGCGTTTGCTTTTAAAATCAGTCTTTCAAAAGCCATACAAGAACGCACCTCAAATTAGCAAGCGGGAGAAAAAAAAAAAAAAAAAAAACAGCAAAATACATCAGCAGCAGCAGCATAAATAAAAAAGACCAAGGTAGCTCGTATCGTAATACACTCAACAAAGGCAGCGTATATACGTACCCACGTATATAATACATATATATGATAGAGGCACACTTACGTATTCCGCGTTGGTCTCGACGTCGTGATACACGACCTGAATGTTCGTCTCGGGCGGTTCCTTGAGGCTCTCCTCCCGCACGAGCTCGGCGAGCCTGCCCCACCACAGATCCCGCGCCGCTGCGGTCCTGTAAACAACCAAAGACGAGCCTCTTTAGACATTGTAGTAATGTATATCATCATCCCTCTCTCTCTTTCGTCGCCCCGCTACATATATGTATAATCCACTTGCACGCGAGAGTCGCCAATTAGCGCGCCTCCGCGACACACATAACACCCGGCCGCTTGTGCTCCGAAGTCGTGACCCACTCGTTAATTATGCAACGCCGAAATCGAGGTCACAGCCCCACCCGTGCCGCAGGTGCGACGACTCGTTATACCGATCATTTGCAATCCTGAGTGCAAACTTTTTACCCCAAAAAGGGACGCTTTGCTAACCCCGTTTTAATCATCAAAGCATCACCATGTTATAAAATATACTCACATAAAAGTGGCGACGACGTTCGTAGTCGGCCAACCGAGGACGAAGCTCGTTTCCTGGGACTTGTTGGTCTCGGCGACGTCCTCGATGTGGTTGGCCGTGAGCCAGAGCTCGCTCATCCTCACGGACTGCTTGAGCTTGAAGGTACCGCCGCTGCGCGCCTTTGCTATCAGCAACAGGTCGGAGAAGAGAAACAGGTGCCGCTCCTGCGACTGCATCCCCTGGAATCGTACAACGAGCGCTTTGTAGCTATTATCGTGCGTCTTTGTAAACGTCACAATGTGTATATATATACATGCAAACAAAAAAAAAAAAGGGGGGGGGAGTATGTATCGACTTACCGTTGTCAGCTGAACGGAAGTTTCGAGCAAAAAGACCCTCGTTGGTGCCTTGGGTCCGGTCGTCGGGGCGCTGTTTGGCGCTGCCTGGTTGTTCAGGCACTTTTGCGAATTGGCCCGGTTCAATCTCCCGGAGCTCGGCGCGTTTCGCTTGCGGACCACGTTCTTGGGCTTCTGAAATGAAAAGATCGAGGGACCAATCGTTAGAATTTTTTTTTTTTTCCGTTGCGGTTACAAACATCTTTGCAATCACAGCTCGAGGAAACCAGAGACTTTGTACTCGAACAGTCAAAGTGCGGTGTGGAAAAAAAAAGAAAAGAAAAAATAAATGATATGGAAGCTCGATCGCGCGCGTTGAAAAGGGAAAGTACCGAATTATATACAGCGTCGGGGAGAAAAATGACGGAATACACGGCGAGCGGTAGCAAACGTGGAGGGGTGGGGTGGGTAAAACAAATGAAATTCTTACGCCCGCGATGTATGTAAATTACCCGGCAACGGGTATAGGTATATGCATTTACAGGTAGACATGGGGAGAGAGAAAAAGGGAGTTGGGCTCTGCGGGCTTTTGTTCTCGGGAGCACCGGAGAGGGAAGAGGCTGCGGGTATTGTTGCCCGGTCGATCGATTTACCGCGAATCCGCGCGAATAAGCTATGCGGGGCCATCGAAATCCATAGGTATCCCATATATATATATATATATATACAATGCTCCTCCCCTCGCGCATACCAAGGGAGGCAATAACGAGAGTCGACGACGCCAGAAGACCTTCTCCCATCCGCTTCCCTTATTTATTTACCTTCCCTGATTTATTTAGCGCGTTCTTTCATTTCCTCGCTCGTTACCTCCTTCCCCCCCCCCCTTCCCTCCCTTTCTCGGCCTTCGGGGAAAATGGGGCATTATACAGGCTGCACCGGCATGTCCCGAGATTCATTTTCCATTCCTCTCTCTCTCTGTACGCGGAACGAAAGAGGAAGACGAGCTGCAAAACCGTGATGCGGTATACACATACTACGAATCCCTCCTCTCCCTTTACTCCGCGTGTCTATAATGCATCAGGCCGCGTTTTCCGGTCGCACATGTCTAATATATATATATATATATGCGTTAGCTGCTTCTACTGTTGCGCAATTGAGAGCATTCCCGCCCGCGACTGTGCAGCTAATTAAATGGCAAACGTAAGGACTGTATACGTGCGTAGCGCGCACACACACACGTAATGACGCGTAATCGTGATATATATCCGCTGTTGCCGTACTCGCGACATTATATATATATAGCCTTACTTCGCACTCGAGTATACTTACATACGTGCCCTCTCGGCATCATGCAACTATACTTACTCTTCTCGCCTTTGCACAAGCACGAGGACACAATGGTAACGTGTACCTTATATATATGTATGTATTATTAGCAGCGCCAGCCGACTTTTATGTCACGGCGTTATACTTGCGTACGAGCGATATATGCAAGTATTATGTATGTATATGCAAGCGACACCTTCACCTGACGCCCCACCACCACTTCCTTGCATCAGGATGGTCTTGTTTTTTTTTTTTTTTTTTTTCACTTCGCGAGCTCATTCCTATGTATATTACGTGTGTTTCACTTTGACTCTCCGAGCTCGGCTTTGTAGCTCTGCCATAGGCGACTGTAATTCCATATAGCGCAACCCACCCAACTGCGAGCGACAGCAGATACAATTTTATATCCTTCCTTGTGTACTTACCATGTGCGTGCGTCTTTGTCCGGATTTTTTTTTTTTTTCATTGTCTCACGCACACGCGAACGTAATTTTTTTTGTTTTTCTCACTTGTACATTGTAATTGGACAATATTCGCGTCAAATACGTACTTATACAACAAATACGCGTTTCAATGGTATTAATCGAAAAAATGGAAGCGCTCTATGGAATGGATAATTTGTTTTATAAACCAAGAGATTAATACACCGGAAAAATTGTAGTAAAATTAAAAAAAAAAAAAAAGAAAAAACAGAAACGTAGAAAGTAAAATACTCGCTGCGGTATTTTATAGGCACAACAAAATTATATGGCCGCCAAAACACACTACTCTTGTCAAAAATTTTACGTAATACCTGGTATATTGAAATTGACCACAGGCACAGCTATAAAAATAATCAATTTCGCGGTCGGTAGGTAATTGGGAAGAAAAAATAAAAAAATAATAATAACAATACCGTGGTCAGAACGTCCTGCTCGTGCAGGCGGAGATTGTCGTTGGGAAAGAGCTCCTGGATGCGGTGCAGGTCGCCCTCGAGCTGGCCCCGCTGGAGGACCGCGCCACTACCGATCTCGTTGCCATTGTCCGAGGCCAGGTTTCGCGCGTCGTGTCCCATGTACCTCTCGTACTCTGCAAGCCTCTGAACCTGAAAATCAAAACATTGAAAGTTTTGGTTAGTCATTGCTTTTGGATTAGCCGCCCGAGAGACAACTTTATCTTTGTAAGCAGATCAAAATCTGTAAATCGGCACTAGTGTCGAGGAAACATTATTCCTTTGATTTCTCTTTTTACGGGAAAAAATCGCCAATTCCACCAACAATTCGTTTTCCATCTCAACGGTTTCACAGCTTACCTCGACTAAACATGGACAAAAAAAATTTCGGTCTCTCTTATATACGTACAAGAAACCAAAACCGCGTCATCTGATGATCGGATCCTAGGATGGAAAGGTTTACTCAACCGTCCACTCTTTGTGTCGATTCAACGCGCGAAATGAAAAAAAGCATGACCGACAAAGTGAAAGCCAGCGGTAATTTCGCGCTTTACGCTGAAGAAGAAGGAGACGACTCGCGTTTTTGAGCGACAGTAACGTCAGCTGTACCCGTACTTTCTAAACAGAAATGTATATACCCAATAACAGAAAAATCGTTTTCCAAGAAGGTACATTTTGTTTGAGTGAACATAATGATAATAGTAACAGTATGCCGATTGTATGATTCGAGTACAAAAATTTTTTGTACAAGGGCTTCCAAGGGTATCGCTAATAGTACATTTTTTATTGGTCAACCGAGATAAATTAGCGAGTCTACGAAGCTAAATCAAAAGCTCTCCCATTCCCTTCTAACTCGTTTATTTTGTATGCGCCGAAACACATCTATACATGCAAAAACCAAGTAATAATTACCTCATCCACTGAAACGCTGCTATCCGATCGGTAGTATAGTAATGAAATTTTAAAAAAAATCCAAACAAACGAAAAAACGTCGTATCGCATCTGACGCTCGCGAGAGACAAACATCGCAGATAGGCATATAGGTATCCTGTAACTAGATCCATCGGCAGAGGCCTTATCGTCCGCAACATATACAGAGAAGCTGCAGGTCGTCGCCATCAGCTCGAAACGACACGCGCGCATATTACACGTCACGTATATATGTAAGTACACGTATATCATAATATTATACTCCTTTCGATGCGCGACAAACTCGTATGTCCGCGGTGAAAAAACGACCGGAGCGACCGGATAATTTTCCATAAAATTTACAACATCCGAGGGAGGTTGTTCCCTTGCCTCCGGAACCTAACAAACTGGTCAGGCCAGATTTGCTTCCGATACGCGACTATACGACCGGCAGCTGCACCGATAAGACACCAACGCCCGAGAAAGAGGCCCTTATTATCGTTACTCTACGATGATTACCTCACGAGATATATGTATATGTATATATGTTTCTTTTCTTTCTTTTTTCCACGCGATAAATGCATATAATATACATGCCCTGAAGTAAGAGCGACAGCAGCGGTCAACTGCCCCAACGCGCGTCCGTCGCTGTTTTTCTCATTTTCAACGGGTAAGTATACGCTCCCTCCTCATGTCTCCTGCACAAGCCGGTGATAAAAACTAGGAGGAGCGCACCTACGTGTACGCACTCGTGGAAAAAGAAAGGAAAATCCAGCGCTCTCGGAACAGGTTATCATTGTACCCCCCCCCCCCCAACCTACCTCTCGATCTTTACCACCTTGGGCGATTCCCCCGTCCTGCGAGGCCGATAATAGCGTCGACGTGAAAACTCGCGTTCGCACATTTTCGCTCGTCCCGCCTTTCCTATACGGCTCGAACGGGGAAGGGAAATAAGGAATCACTCCCATACAGCGTATAGGTATGTGTATATACGTCACATGGAAACAGTGAAAGTCAAATGAGGGAGATTTTACATTCTCCTTCGATGGCTTTACGAGCATATAATATGAATTTTATATTGGGAAAATTTGAATCTCCCTCTCTCTTCCATACTTTCGCTATCTGATGTTAGGGCCCATCATCTTATACGGCGGAGGGCCGATGTGGTGGATAATCGTGAAATTTCGTGCAACATCCAGCGGACGTCGTTTGCGGCTTTCTCTTTTAAAATTGTGTGTCTATATATATATATACACGTGTACGGACATTCGTCATTGGACACGGAGCGATTCGAGTTTCGCTGATTCTCGAAACGATTGAAGCAGCCGTATTATATAAACGGTCGTTAATTATGATCGGTGAAATCTCTGTTTGACGAGGTGTACGGTTGAATCGGAAAAAAGGCAAAGTTATCTGTACAAAACGTACTTTATTAAGCCCAAAATGAACCTGTCACTTTTTTTTTTTTTTTTTTTTTTTTTTCGGTTGGTGATGGGAAACTATTTTCGGACTCTTCATCTATACTATATTTATATATACCGTAGTTTTTTTTTCTTCAGCCTAAAAACACCATGTGGGTCAGAGGAACGAAAAAAGTATACGAGTGCAATTTATGAACTTGCGAAGGACAAGCGGTTATTCCCAACCACCCTCAATTGAATTAAAAGTCCATTAAAATGTAATTTGTATACAATCAAGATTACAAACATGTAGACTTCCAAAGCAGCGCATGACTCAAGCATTTATCTGAAGCTTATGGGACACCTTATCGAGTACGCAGCAGATAATTTTTCTTGCTCATCCATCTGATGCACATATTTATCTCGTCACTCCGAAACTACAATCACGAAAATTCAAAATGAGCGATGCGTCGTACCAACGCGAAAAGGGACATTTGCATTAGTTAATCGAAGGGACTAGCCTTGCCACTTTCTCCTTTTACATAATATAGGCGTGCTATAGTTTCATATTCTTATGCAGATTGAGAATTTTCGGGACAATTTTAATGTAATTTATACGATTATAACTTGCTCTGCTGCGTTTTTGCCGCGTTGGTGACACAAGCGAGAGAAATTCAAAAGCCCATGACAGTGAAATTTCATTATCCGATTATTTACTTGTTTACATCCATGTAAGCAACCGATACGTTGTTACAATATGACGGGGGATCGTTACACCTTTTATTAATTATTTTCTTGACTATACTTGTTTTACCATCTCCACTATCATCACAAGTTCATGATCGAAATAACAAACAAGACCCGAATGAATTTATTTTTAATTTTTACTGAAAAAACATTTCAACGCAAGCGAAGCGCAGCAGATCATCTCGTGCGCTGTATACGTTATTATATTCCAAGTACTGATGTGATACAATCTCAATATATGCCAGTATGAAATTAAAAAAATGGGATGATCTTCCAATAAGAGAAATGTTTAATAAAAAAAAAAATAAAAAACAAGCGTTGAAAGTATACGTTGTGGGCCTACCTTACCAAGCGGCTGGTAATCATTTGATTGGCGCCGAAGGGACCGAAATGATGATCGAGTCTTTCTACACCAGCTCGAAAAAACCCTCTTCATTTTGCACTCCAAAGTCAACTTTGCTGTCACTATTCACAACCAAGAAAAGGAAATCGAGAAAAGTAAAACAAGAGGACACCTCGAGCACTCCACGAGAGGTAAACTGAGGACTGACGGACGGCTGTCTCGTTGCACTCCCGCATATCTCGATACTTTGCACTAATGAGTTTACTCGAACCACTTACTATTGGCCCGAGCGTAATTACGAAAAATCGCCCCCCCCCTCGAGCAACCGGTAACAATTGGTCTTATAGAAAAGGAAAGTAGTGAGATCATTTGGGTGATGAGTATACGAGGACATCTAAGGTGGCATCGCCAATACCGAAGCTCTGTACCGCCAGCATGAAAGAATTGGATCTTACGAAGGCGAACTTCTTCTACTTATTGGACCACACATTAAAAAAAAATAAAAATCGACGAGAAAAATTTATTCAACAGTCTATGCTTGAAACAAGAAAAATCCTCTTATTTTTACCCATAAAATATACCTGATTTCTTCGCTTTTTATTTAGTTTCTACATGTATTTTGCCGTAATTACAATTCTGTGAGCCGTAAAGACGTTTAAAAAGTGAAAATTCGGCAGATCAGAAAAAAAAAAAAAAATAAAAAAAAATAAAAAAAATACCTATAGATTACCATGAGTCGAAAAATCTCAGCAGCGGGAGTTCCCGGAGATAATTTACGAATAAAAAAAATGTATATAAAAATAGACAACACCGAAAGTCTGGGAGCATCCGGGTGCTCCTCGAGAATTCATAATGGACGAATCTCGTCGATGTCACCGGCGTTCCTAGAAATCAATTCGCATACCTTTTTTTTTCAACTCCCACTCCTCATCGCCGGCGATGACTTTCCATTGCCGCGGACGTTTGCATATATGCATCATCTCGGGCTCCCCTGTGCACGTAAATATGAATAACAAATTATGGTGCAAATATGGCACGCGTAAGTATGCAGTCATTAATCGAAAGTGAAAAATGTACAAAAATACGAATCGGAGGACTGTATCGTCACTCGAGCTGATGTCACTGCGTGATTGAAGAGCGAATGAATGAAAATATACGTGCACTTTGAGGTTCCTCAAAAAAAGAGCCCCCCCCCCCCCCTAACAGGTGGGTACAAGATATCGCGAATTGAAAAACAAAAAAGTGAGCACCCATGTAGTGCAGGGTACTATAAGTATATACATTAGACAGAGCTGCGAACTCGAGAAAATGACGAGAGTTACGTGTAAAGTATATCAGAGTGGAGTACACGAAAGCCATTCTGCCCGATGCATGTATTACCTACCATATACAAGCAACTGTTATTGCTTTCATGGTTTTATATATACACGTATACGTGCTCATTTCATATTCGCTTGGAAGTATCGATGTACACGCCGATTCGAATCGACGAGGGGGGAGAGAGAGAGACCTTCGGAGGGAAAGAGTAAAGTGCACACGAGTGTATAACGAAGTACAGCGGGAGCGCGAGAGGCAGGAAAGAAGAAAACGAGTTGCCGAGATATGTGTGTATGCCAACTATTACGGGCGCGGGGTAATATTATATACACACACTTCGTCGCTCATGCGAGCGGTGAAAGGAAATTATTTCGCTATGTGTATCGGCCTCCTCGTCTATCAACCGGTGCACTATAAACTGCGTGTACCATTATATT